CAAGAATTCCCCTGGCTGGGGAATTCTGGGAGTTGAAGTCTGCACATCTTCAAGCTGCCAAGGTTGAGAAACACTGGTCTAAGCAGAACAACTGGCAGGTCAACCCAAGGTAAATAAAGAGATAGGCAGCACTTAGCTACTATGAATGAGTTTAAGCCCCCAGAGCCAGACCAATTCCATCTAAGAATCCTGAAGCCCCTCTCTGGAGGACAGACACAGTTCCCAATAATAGGAAAAGGGCAAAGGTTGTTCCTTTCTTCGAAAGCAGAAGAAAAATAGACCTCAGTAATTAACAAACCGGATGCTGATACCAGACAAAACTCTGGAACAGTTTATGAAGTGGTTGGTTTACGAATAATTTGAAACTAACGCATTGCTAGCCAGAAGCCATCATGGGTCTACCACACTGATCTCCTTTTCTGTCAGATGGTTTAGTTGGCTGTGGGAATGTGGTGAACACAGGGCACCTTGACTTCATCAAAGCGTTCGACAAAATATTTCATGAAATCCTAACACTGAGTACAGGATGGCCAAACATTAGCTGGACTACGCTACGGCTAGATAGATACAGAACTGGGTCCATTCTAGGCCTTCCATTAAATGACTTGACTAAGGAGACAGAAAATACAATTATCCAGTCTGCAGGCTAGATTTCACAGTCTGAGTACTGTAGTCAGTAAGTTTATTTAAACAGGCCACGTAGCAAAACAAAATAACAATATTATTTTGAAATATCCAGAACTGTATAACTTTCTTAATCAAATCCTTCAGCGTCCCAATAAAAATCAAACGGCTTCCTCATTCTAATAGCACCCGTTAGAAACATTGCCACTGCTAAAGTCACCTTAGGAATTGGATCACAGAAAGGGATTTAACTTAACATTGATTTGCATGTCCAGGAAAAAATGTTAAAATAGGAGTAACCAGATCATTACATGAACTAAGATAAAAGCTAAAATAGAGTATATGCTCCATTGACTCTATATTATGGTTATTACAGGGACACACTCCTTTGGAGGAGCTAAGCTCCTTTATATTTTCCCCATAACATCTGTACATCTGACTAGGAAAAACAAAGGCATGAGTACAGGATGGTGGGTTGGGGGAACTATACTAGACGTCAGTACATACAAAAAGGATCTGGGTGTCTTGGTGGATTAAAACCTGAACAGGATGCAACAGTGAGATGTTTAGTGTCCTCGTTTAGTGACACAACTGGAACCAGCATCTTGATTGTTAAGTGAAGCAGTCGCTAAGTGAAACCACAATCATGCTTATGATCTTACTTCAGCTTTCGTTTGCTTTGCAGATCTGCAAAGGTCATAAATGTGAGTTACTTTTTCATCACTGTCCTAACTGTGAAGGTTGCTAAACAAGGCAGTCACTAAACGAGGACTACCTGT